CAAGAGCGCTTCAGATAGATAGAAAACTGATGTCAGAAGAGTTAGATCACCGGAAATGAATGAAGGCAGTTTTATGAAATTCCTAACCAAGATAAATCTGCTTGCTGAAACAAAGGCCGCTCCAATCTCTACCTCCCCTCCTTCTGGGTTATTTGTTTTATTTTAAACAATCCCGTGTCTTTAAAGACAGGAATATGCAAGGATCTATAAAAAGCTTAGATAAAAGGGCCCAAATACTCACACTTGCTGTTACACATGCACACCAGTGGTGAAATCCTCCGCGGATTGCCACCGGTTCACTGCCCGTGCATGCACGGTGCACACCAAACACATGTGGTGCGTGCGCATCTACAATGCGCACCAAACGCACACTTCGTGCGGAAAATGGAGGCTTAACAAGGTAAGTTGAACAGTGAGGGGGGGAACAGCTGTGCCACACGATTTAGATTCACTAGAATGCAGGATTTCCTGCTTTCTAGTGAATTTAATTCAGGGACATGATGGCTCAGTGGCTAAGACGCTGAGCTTCTCGACCGAAAGGTCGGCAGTTCAGCAGTTTGAATCCCTAGTGCTGGGTAATGGGGTGAGCCAGTGGTGGGTTTCAAATTTTTTTACTACCAGTTCTGTGGGTGTGGCTTGGTGGGTGTGGCAGGGAAGGTTACTGAAAAATCCCCATTTCCTCCCAATCAGCTGGGACTTGGGAGGCAGAGAATAGATGGGGGTGGGGCCAGTAAGAATTTTTACTACCAGTTCTCCAAATTACTCAAAATTTCCGCTACCGGTTCTCCAGAACTGGTCAGAACCTGCTGAAACCCATCTCTGGTCTGAGCTCCCGGGACTTGTCCCAGCTTCTGCCAACCTAGCAGTTTGAAAGCAGGTAAAACATGCAAGTAGAAAAATAGGGACCACCTTTGGTGGGAAGGTAACAGCGTTCCGTGTGCCTTTGGCATTTAATCATGCAGGCCACATGACTACGGAGACGTTTTCGGACAGCGCTGGCTCTTCGGCTTTGAAACAGAGATGAGCACCGCCCCCTAGAGTCGGGAATGACTAGCACATATGTGCGAGGGGAACCTTTACCTATACTAGTGAATTTAAATCACGTGGCACAGTTGATTGTTGGAAATACTGGTTTGCCCGAACCGGTAGCTTTTATCACTATCGATTCGCCCGAACCAATGCGAACCGGTAGCATTTCACCCCTGACGCACATGCACAAAAAAACCCCGGATGGACAATCCTCTGAAAGCACAACTTTCCAGAATCAATCTTCAACTTTCCAGCCTTTAAACCCGTTGTAAACTTGTGCTTTGTTTTCGCCCATAAATTGAGAGGCATATGTTAGCCTCGATCTATGCACCGAACTCCCATTGAGATTAATGGTGCTTGCACGTTATTGGGAGATCGTTTGCAAAAAGAGCAAATTAAACCTCTTCATTAAGTACAGAACAGGTGGTTTAGGAAGGGCATCTGACCAAATTCTTGGGTTCTTCTCTTTTTCTTTCATCAGTTGGAGGCCGTCGCAAGCAAGGGCTGGCTGGGAGGCATGGTGAATGGCCTGGATTTCCAATCTCTCTGGTCCAGTTGCTTGGATTTAACCTCTGCAATGTCTTTCTATTAAAAATATTCCTATTTATTTTTATATGTATAGCCCCTTCCTCTTTTGCCAGATGGCAGGTGGAGAGATGTTCCTTCTCACATTATCACCTTGCGTACAGCTAGTATGCTTGTCAGATGTTACATCTTTTCTATCCTGCTCTACGGAGTAGAGAGTTGGTCTCTGACAGAAAACCACTTGAAGAAACTAGAAGCATTTGAAATGTGGATTTATATTTATTTATTTATTTATTTATTTATTAAATTTTTATACCGCCCCCTCTCCCGAAGGACTCGGGGCGGTGAACAGCCAGAATTAAAAACACACAATACAAATATTAAAATACATTAAAACAAAATTAAATTATCTTAGGCTTCTCCAATTTAAAACCCCGTTACCCATAAAATTCACTCAATTAAAAATTTTTAACCCAGCCCGGCTTGCTGAAATAAAAAAGTCTTCAGGGCCCGGCGGAAGGTCCGGAGGTCCGGGATTAGTTGTATCCCTGGGGGTAGCTCATTCCAGAGGGCGGGTGCCCCCACAGAGAAGGCTCTTCCCCGGGGGGTCGCCAGCCGACATTGCCTGACAGACGGCACCCTTAGGAGACCCTCTCTGTGGGAGCGTGTTGGCCGGTGGGAGGTTATCGGAGGCAGAAGGTGGTCTCGTAAATAACTGGGTCCTAAGCCATGGAGCGCTTTGAAGATGAGAACCAACACCTTGAAGCGCACTCGGAAGACCACTGGAAGCCAATGCAGCTCGCGCAGGAGAGGTGTCACGTGGGAGCGCCATGTCGCCCCCATAAGTACCCGCGCGGCCGCATTCTGCACCAGTTGGAGCCTCCGAGTGTTCCTCAAGGGGAGCCCCATGTAGAGAGTGTTGCAGTAGTCGAGGCAGGAAGTAACGAGGGCATGAGTGACCGTGCATAGGGAGTCCCGATCCAGAAAGCGGTTGTTATGCATAAACTGGGTTGACACAATGAGGAGGTGGTAAGCCACCTGGGAAAGCCAAGGGAAATCATCAAAGCCCTTAAAAAAAAGCAAAAGTTAGAATATTTTGGACATATGATGTGACACCCAGAAAAATAGGGCATCCTTCGCTTAATCCTCCAGGGAAAGATTGAAGGCGAACGAGGTCCAGGCAGAAGAAGAACATCATGGTTTCAAAACCTAAGGGACTGGTTTGGATAAAACTCAGCAGCACTTTTTCATGCGGCTGTTGACAAAAATAGGATCGCCAACGTCTGTTGATGGATATGGCAGAAGAAGGAGGAGTTAATTGTCCTCACTGTTAGGAAGTTTCTCCTCGATTCCAGGTTGATTTCTCTCCTTGATTAGTTTCCATCCATTGTTTCTTGTCCTGCCTTCAGGTGCTTTGGAAAAATAATTGACCCCCTCCTCTTTGTGACAGCCTCTCAAATACTGGAAGACTGCTATCTATCCCCCCTAGTCCTTTATTTCTCTTGACTAGCCGTACCCAAATCCTGCAACCGTTCTTCATATAGTTGAACATCTGGTCACGACTATAATTCATTCCATAACTTTGGTCATAAGCCGATTTGGTCGTGACCTGAACTTAATTTTGGAAATTTGGTGCTTACAAAAAAAAAATTGGTGCGGAAGGAGAAATCAGCTGCGAAAAAAATATATTTGTGAATTTTTTGGTCGGAACCCAAATTTGGTCATGGTCAGAAGCATTTGTGACCAGAGGTTCTGCTGTCTATTTTAGTCTCTAGGTCTTTAAGCATCTTAGTTGCTCTTCTTTGCACTTTTTCCAAAGTCTCAACATCTTTTTTGTAATGTGGTGACCAAAACTGGATGCAGTATTCCAGATGTGGCCTTACTAAGGCTTTATAAAGCGGTACTAATACTTCACATGATTTTGATTCTATGCCTCTGTTTATACAACCAAGGATTTTATCTGCCCAACTCTGATTAAACATACAAGGAATTTGTCTCCGGTACAGAAGCACTCAGTGTACTTGCAAGGCAATAGAGAAAATAATAGTAATAATAATACTAATAATAAAAAAAGAAGACGTAAAGAAGATAATAAAAGGAATAAATAATAATACTATAGCCGGTCTAGGAGAACTTACCATGGCCAACTCTCCCAGGACAAGAGTTACACTAATATTGAAGAAATGGTGAAATAGAATCCTTAAGGAAAGGATGCAAAAGGAAGGACACAGTGAAATATGAATGACAGAAATTAAATCATTTTTTAAATGATTTTAAATAATTAAATAGAATTGTTGAGTGGTCCCAGAGCGAGTTGGCCATGGCAAGTTGGCCATGATGAGTTGGTTGTGGCAAGTTGTCCCATTCCTCCAGCCACAGCCTATGAGTTAATATACATACACATTAGACAGAAGTGGGAGAATTAAGGGTTCAACACAGTGGGGATATGAGGGAAGAAACTGTCCCTGTATCTCATTGTCTTGGCATGCAATACCCTATAGCGCCATCCCGAGGCAAGGAGTTGAAACAGGGGTGAAATGCTACTGATCCGGTAGCGATGGCGGTGGGTGGTTCAGAGAACCAGTAGCAAAAATCCCTGCGCCCCCTCCATGCCCAGCTAACCGTGCGATCATCAGAGGTTTTTTTTTTATTTTTTAAAAGCATTTTTTCGGCCAAAGAGGTTGTAGAAAAAAATGCCTTTAAAAGCCTCTGGCGATCCCAGCTGAGTTGCCTGATCGTCAGTGGCTTTTAAAAGCATTTTTTTCTGCAACCTCTTCGGCCGAAAAAATGCTTTTAAAAGTAAAAAAAAAGCCTCTGATGATCGCAGCAGCTCAGCTGGGATCGTCCCCCCCCCACAAAGGCATGCCCACAGAACCGGTAGTAACAAATTTTAGATTTCACCCCTGAGTTGAAATCATTTGTGTCTAGGATGTGAGGGGTCTGCAGGCACCTTCTCAGCCTACCTCCTGACCCACCCAATATACAGTTTGAAGGAGGATGGCCTGTCTCTGATTGCTACCCCCTGCCAGCTCATGTACGGTCCACTTTAGATGCATCACACCTGTTTGAAAACAATTGACTCTCGCCCTGGTCCCCACTTCTTTACCCTCCTACCATCGGGGAGGAGATATAGAAGCATAGCCAGCCACACAAACAGGCTGAAGGACAGTTTTTATCTGTGGGCTGTCCATTCAGACTCCTGAATGAGAAATAACATAACTACGTAGTAGGATGGACTTTCTGGGCCGGTGCAGCGTGTAACATGTCCACACTGGTGCAATAGGACTGAGTGTTTTGTTCATATGATTTATTGGGTTAGGGATTTTCTGTATTCACTGTGAGTTGTATTGTGTTGTGGGGGGATGCACTAAGGGAGCTCCACCAATCTTATTGTACATATGTTGTGCACTGACAATAAAGATTTGAAGATGAAGAAATTGACTTACTGCAGCCTGTCTTGTAGCTGAAACCAGGTGGCAGGAGGAATCCTTGCTGGGCTGCTGCTGCTAGGGTTCGCTGGTCTGGAGGGAATACGGGGATCATTAGTGGCGGTAGCTGACCTTGGACCTGCTGGGCAAGAAGCGGTAAACATCAAACCAAATATTACAGCTTAACAATTAGCCTTAAGATTTAAGACGGCAATTGTCAGGTATCCTTCCAGAGCAGGGGTGAAATGCTCCCGGTTCGGACCGGATCGCCCGATCCGGTAGCGATGGTGGCGGGTGGTTCGTAGAACCGGTAGCAAAAATCCTTGCCCCACCACCACCATGCTCAGCTGAGCCGCAGGATCATCAGAGGCTTTTTTTTTGTTACTTTTAAAAGCATTTTTTCTACAACCTCTTTCGACGAAAAAATGCTTTTAAAAGTAAAAAAAAAAAAAACCTCTGATGATCACGACTCAGCTGGGATCGTCAGAGGCTTTTTCAAAGCATTTTTTTTTTACCACCTCTTCGGCCAAGAGGTTGCAGAAAAAAATGCTTTGAAAAGTCTCTGACGATCCCAGATGAGTTGCCTGATCGTCAGAGAGGCTTTTCAAAGCATTAGAAAAAATGCTTTGAAAAGTTTAAAAAAAACAAAAACGTTGGCCACGCCCACCCAGTCACATTACCCCCCCTCCAAGCCACGCCCACAGAACCGGTAGTAACAAATTTTATATTTCACCCCTGTTCCAGAGGCTCATCGTTTTGACTGCATGAAATTCTGCGTACAAAAAGGAAGAGATTTTTCCCTGTAGATGTTTTTTTTTTCCACCGGGTGAAGTTGAGTTCCTGGGGTGGCCAAGGTCCTGAAATGTGGCCAAAAGCCTGATGGGTTTCATCCACTTAGTCCAGTGTTTCCCAAACTTTTGACATATGTGTACCCCTTCTATAATTTTCATAACGCTGAGTACCCCTCATAAAAAACCGGAACTAACTATTAAAGAAGTAAGTTGTCTCTGTAACGAAGTGCAGTATATTCATGCCGTGTCATGCCTCACAAGACTGTCTAACCGTTAGATAACACTGCAATTCTCCGGCGTTTAAACAGCTCCGCGGCTCAACGTCAACTGTTAATATTCCCGCAGTTTAAAAATGGCCGAACCCGAGCTGCGCGAAGGATGCGCAGAAGTTCCCGCCATAATGAGTTGCGATACGATGTACGATGGTCCCAGTTCCCATGTAAAAACTGTGATACGCGCCTATTTCTTTCCTTGTTCTGTGGGCGCAGCTAAACACGGTGCAGTGGATATTCCCACGTGATCCCCACCAAACTCCGGTGCAACACGTACCCCCACCAAACTCTTCCCGTACCCCTGGGGGTACGTGTACCACACTTTGGGAAACACTGACTTAGTCTGTGTGCCACGGGCGACCTGTTCCAATGGTCTTTGATACAGTAGAGATAAAATAGCACGCCATGACTTGGGAAGCTTATTATTTTTTTTGCAGTCAACAAAAAACTCCAGAGAGAGGTCCTAATTGTGGGATCCTTGGTGCTCTCTGAGCTTGGTTGTTCTCTGGCAGACGTTTCGTTATCCAACTAAGTAACATCATCAGTGCTAGGTGGGAGTGGAGTTTGCTCCCTTCTGACTCTTCCTTCTAGAACTCAAGATGTTACCTACTTGAGTAATGAAATGTCTACAAGAAAACCACCGAGCTCCGAGAGCATCAAGCACCCCACTGTCCTTCTCCTCCTCCCTACAAACCACACTTCCTTCTAGCACTGATGAGGTTACTTAGTTGGGTAATGAAATGTCTACAAGAAAACCACCAAGCTCAGAGAACATCAAGGACCCCACAGTTCAACCCAGAGGTACTAATATTCTCTCCTATTTTTTGACTCATCTAGATTAGATTACAACTACAGTACAGGTAATTGGAAACTGGAAAATATATTACAGTCTTTGATTTTTGGGACAATCTGAGTCTGGAAGTATCCCCACCTCTGTGGACCACGGAAAGAGCAATAGCACCACACAGATCTATTTTGAGTCCTTATGGATCCCGAATAGGATTTCCCCCCCCCCTTCTTGATTCCCTCCCTCATCCTGTTCTATTTTTAGAGTCACACACCTTTTAAAAATGGTTGTTGCAGAATTGTTATTTGAGCAGTTCTCTAATAATGACACGTTATTGTGGTTGTAAGAATTCAATTTCACTTGACCAAAACATTTCAGCACCTGCAGAGTAATGACTCTCATGCTTCCAAGCGCTCTGCTCATAGTGTACCCTTACGGATGTCTGTAAAATTGAACGGGATTTACCCAAAGGTAAATGCATATACTGTGCAGAGAAATTTTAATGACCCTGGAATAATCCTTGTTACTGCCTTAATTTGCTCCTTTCCCTTCTCCCTTTTAAATGCCAAAGAAATTTCTTTCTCCTTTGAAGGTGAATTGAATTTTTGCATTGTATTCTTAGGCAAAGAACCAGGGGGAGGGAGGGAAGGAAGGAAGGAAGGAAGGAAGGAAGGAAGGAAGGAAGGAGGGAGGGAGGGAGGGAGGGAGGGAGGGAGGGAGGGAGGAAGGAAGGAAGGAAGGAAGGAAGGAGAAAAGGAGAAGGAGAAGAGTTCCATGTATGAAAATGACTTTGCCAAGCAAAGAAGCTTCAAAACAGAACTCAAAACACTAATAGAGAGACAGATGGTTCCACTGAAGTCTTTGCTGCCAAAAAAAAAAATTATATACAAAAAAAGAAAGGAAAAAAACAGAGTGATGTTATTGAAGCTGGCTGGAAAGTTCTCTGATGGCTGCAAACACTCTTGTCCCATTTTAAGTGTTAACTCTGCCTCCAGGGCTAATATAAACTAAAGCAACATAGATGCACACACACACACACACACACACACACACACACACACACACACACTAGTACTTGCCGACACACAAACATGCACACACTCATAGCCCTACAAGTCTGCACTTGATTACAAGAGACTTCTGGATAAACCAGCCAATGTGTTGTATTAATGCATTCCTGACTGGGAAAGGAGCCATTAAGAAAACTTTTTTTTTTAAAAAAAGCTATTGTCACATTTTTGTACTGTTCTTTACTTCTTGAATAAGTAAATGCTTAACACAAGAGAGGAGAGGAGAGGAGAGGAGAAGGGGAGGGAGGGGAGGAGAAAGGAAAAATGGATGGATGGAAGAAAGGAAGGAAGAGGAAAAGGAAGGGGAGGAGAGGAGAGGAAAGGAGAGAAGAAGGGGAGGGGAAGGGAGGGAGGGGAAAAGGAAAAATGGATGGATGGGAAGGAAGGAAGGAAGAGGAGAAGGAAGGGAGGAGAGGAGAGAGAAGGAGAGAGGGAGGAGAAGAAAGGATGGATGGAAGAAAGGAAGAAGAGAGAAGGAAGAGGAGAGAAGGAGAGAAGAGGGAGAGGAAGGGAGGAGAGAGAAAAGAAAGGAGAGAAGAAAGAAGAAGAGGAGAAGGAGAAGAGGAGAGGAGGAGGGAAGGAGGAGAAAGGAAAAGGATGGAGAGAAGGAAGAAGAGGAGAAGGAAGAGGAGAGGAGAGGGAGGAATGGAGGAAGAGGAAGAAAAGAGAAGAGAAGAGAAGAAGAAGAGAAGAGAGAGAGGAGGAGAGGAGGAAGAGGGGAGGGAGAGGAGAGGGGAAGGGAGAGGGAGAGAGAAAGGAGAAAAAATGGATGGATGGAAGAAAGGAAGGAAGAGGAGAAGGAAGGAGGAGAGGAGAGGGAAGGGGAGGGAGAGGGGAGCAGAAGGAAAGATGGAGAAGAAGGAGGAAGAGAAGAGAGAGAGAGAGAGAGAAAGAGAGAGAGGAAGAGAGAGAGAGAGAAGAGAAGAGAGAGAGAAGAGAGGAGAGGAGAGAGGGAGGGAGGAGAGGAGAGGAGAGGAGAGAGAAGGGAGAGGAGAGAGAAGGGAGGAGGGGAGGAAAGGAAATGGAAGGAAGAAAGGAGGAAAGGAGAAGGAAGGGGAGGGAGGAGAGGAGAGAGGGAGGAGAGGAGAGGAGGAAGAGAGAGAGAGGAGAGAAGAGAGGAGAGGAAGGAGAGGAAGGATGGAGGAAGGAAGAAGGAGGATGGAGAGGAAGGAAGGGAGGGGAGAGGAGAAGAGAGGAGAAAAGAAAGGAAAAGAAAAGAAAAGCGTCAGATGACAAAAGGAAGCTAAATCTTGAAGGTAAGCGTAGCAGAAAGTTGGTAAATAATTTTTTACACGGAGACCAAAATATCTCAGGCAAAACAATCTAATTTCCTTTACAAGCTAAGTAGAGCAAGGAAAAACTTTAATACCACTGTTCCATTTCATTTCTAAAGGAGATCAATGCTCAGGTAATGTCACTGTTATGAAAAGGTGGGCGTAACAATGAACTAGGAATCAAATGCAGAAGATGCCCCCGTGCTGTATTTATTTTTGAGGGTGGAGGGAACTTTTGAGCAAGGTTTGTTTTCCTGTTGCTAGGCTACACTCGGGGAAAACACTTAAAAAACAGATCCTCTTTCTCCACCTTCTTCTAGCTTGGCTTACAGGGGTACCCGGTGACATCCTGAATTTCAGGGTATCCACCAGTAAGGGTTAAAATCCACCCAAAAATTCTGTATCTAAATGCAAAAAAAAAAAAGGGGGGGGGGCGCGAGCCATATCCACCACCTGGGAAGATTTTGACCCTTCCTTGCAGACACCCCCCTGCTTTCCATTCTGTAAGAGAGCTGCCGACCATTTAAATAAACTATTTATTTTTTCTCATTATTGGATATTAAGGGCCACCATTCCATTATTACAGTTTTGAAATTCGCGATTTCATTTTATTGCTATTTTGATACCTGGAAACCATCTAGAGACGCAGTGAGCACTGGGACAAGAGAATCACTGCACAATTAAGCAAACAAACAAACGAAGTGGCAGGAGCCTAGATTTAGAGATTTGCAGACTACTAAAGATTTCTAATCAGGGCAAGTTGCAGAAACAGCCATATGTCTTCTTGTAGCACATCCAACAGTTTTGCATGCAGAAATATGAAGAGTCTCCAGAGTTGAGATATTTTTCCCCCCCCCTTCTCAACATAAGTTTCGGGAAAGCAGCTGTGTTACATCATATTATGGCAGCCTATAAGTCTTAGAACCCCTTACTTCAGGGGTGAAA